AATAATTTCCGGAGAAAAACGTTACAACATAACTATGTTCTCACTCCACAATAGTTAACCATTTTAATTTGTAATAGTATGAATAACTTGGTACAACTATGTTCAACTATTTTCAGCTCTTGGTTTTGGGTTTGCTTGTCTCTCGTCCTAAAAATAAAGAAAATTTTATGTGTCCAAGGCTTTTCTAACAATTATGGAAAACGAGTGAGAATGTTCTGTTTCATTTCATCGGAAAATGAGATTCCGTGAGAAATAGACATGTATCAGTTACAATCAGTTACTTTTTACTTTATCAGATAAAGGGTTGTGGGCCAGACACCGTAAGTAGAGTAATGACTATACATTTATCAGACATGACCTTTTTCAGACATTCTAAATTAATATATTATTAAAATATATGAATACATTCTGTTTTGGTTCTAGATTTCGGTATTTATCGGTTCGGTAAACTAATTTCAAATTACAATAACCATGAAATCGAGTTCATATACACCAAATTATATGAAATCAATTACATTCTTGTAGATTGTATGCATAGTTATGTTATGATTAACATTTAAACTAGCCAAAATAAGCAATTTATAAATATTTGAACTTTGAAACAAGTTTTCTCATAATACACATCATAGTTCTATGAAGAGTTCACAATGAGTAACCACATAAGGCATCGAACAGAACGTAAAAAAGCGAAAACGAAATCTGATTACATGAACATGATGGGGCAACAAATTAAGTAGTACTTGTGAAAAGTTCAACTACATAATTACATATTTAATATAAGTATAACTAGTTTTTTGGTTAAAATCGGAAATGTACAACTACTGAGAGTGTGTATAACTGTCATACTAACAAAAACGTATCAAACCTCATATGAAGAAATGACATATGTCCACGCGTTATTGGATATTAGCTATTGGCGGCGGCACGTGACCGAATTCCACACGTGAAGGATAGCCCCATTTTCTGCGTGTAATACTTAAATAATATTATATTTCCCTTTTTCTCAGTTGTAATATAATTCAAATTTGAATTTTCTCCCAATACCCAAATTCACCAAAATTCGAACTTCCCCCCATTTTGAATTTCATTTCACATATTTCTATTCTGTCTCTCTCTCTTGGGACATTCCTCTCTCTCTCTTCAAATTTGTGAACTTTCTTTGCTACAGCGACTATGGACCCGACCTACAGCGACGAGAAGAGAAACAAGAAGCTTATCGACCGCCTTTACCACGTAGCCGATGCAGAGTTTGGGATTCCAACAGTTTGTCCATGTGGTGGAGGAATCATCCAGGAGATTTCTGAAGATCCAGGAAAGAGATACTACACCTGCAAAGTGTATAAGGTTTGAACTACTTTAATTTTCTGGATTTAGATTGATTTAAAATTCCTGGGTTGAATGTAGGTTTAAGTTTATGAATTTTTGTGTAGAACAACGGCTACCACTTTAGGGTATAATGGGATCACGCTGTCGATGATGAGATTTCTAGGCTAAAATGTGAGATTAAGGACCTGCGCTCGAGGATTGCGAAAATGTCAAACCATGAATTTCAAATTAAGCAAATGCGCATGGAGCTGAACAACAATGCTGAAGAGATTGCGAAGCTGAAAGGTGTATTGACGGATTTAAGGTTTAGTGTGTAGAACTGATACAGTTTTTAACAATCCCGTTGTTTAATGAATCCTTGTTTAATTCCCAGATTGTTTCTTTCGCAGACTAAGAAGTATACCAATTAGTACCAGATTTTATGGATTCCCAAAGTTACACGTAGTTGGGCCGAATTATACCAATTAGTACCAGATTTTATGGGTTCCCAATGTTACACGTAGTTGGACCGAATTATACCAAATAGTACCAGATTTTATGGATTCCCAAAGTTACACGTAGTTGGGCCGAATTATACCAAATAGTACCAGATTTTATGGATACCCAAAGTTACACGTAGTTGGGCCGAATTATACCAAATAGTACCAGATTTTAAGGATTCCCAAAGTTACACGTAGTTGGGCCGAATTATATCAAATAATACAGTTATTTCACATATTAAAGCATTAGATTCTTAATACTTACCTATTACAAGGCGATCTGAGTGGATCCTTACTAAGATGGTGCAGGAAGTGGTGGATGAAAAAGATAAACAACTTAGGAGGCTGGTGTTTGGATTTTTCCTCCAAACTCTTCGCTCAGTATCCTAAGTTGCTCATCTTCTCATCAACCACTTTCTGTACGATCTTAGGGTTTCGGGAAAACGATCTATTTCCCCCTGAGAACTTTCATATAATAATAAATCTCCCTGTAGTTTGACCATCGTTCTAATTTTCCCTTTTATCAAAGTTCTAATTCTATTTCCCCATAAAATCAAAATTTTAAACTTGTTTACCCGTATATATCAATTTTATCGGTTTATAACCTAAACCAACCTAACCGAATTAATAATCTAAATTAAATCTAATCTAAACCCAATGCACGAAAAAAAAACAAAAGATAAGTGGTCCCACCCACTTCCTCGCGAGTCTTCTTCTTCTTTTTTTTTGACGTGAGTCTTCTTCTTCCTTGTTTGCTGAAATACAAAATCAAAACAAGACAACTGAAAATCTTTTCAACTAAAATTAAAATTAGTTCTTATTGATATTAAGAGCAAACCCAGAATTTTTTTTGTAAACCACAACCCTTGAAACAAGACAATTGAAGAAATCTTCTAATCAAATTAAATTCAGAAAAAAATAAACTCAGAAATTAGTTTTTATTGAAATTAAAAACGTACATTTCTGCTTTGATTCGTTCAAGACTAATCATCTTTTCGGTCCTTCCTCCACGTGAGTGATCCCAACATCATAGAATTTGATTTTGTTTCTAGGGTTTTAGTTTTGCGATCTGGGTTTTGATTCACGATTCTCGGATCGGAGAAGAGAACAGTTCAATGGAATTGGAGGAGTTCAAGGTTAGCAGAGAGTTTTCATGGTCAGGAAAACGCCTAGTTTGATTGAAAATTCCCCAGTCTCCGGTGTGTTTGAGGTTTCCGGGTCGGGTAATTTCCCGAGACGTGAAGAAGATGATTTGAAAGACATTGAGGGATTAGTTTGGTTTAAATTAGGTTAATTTGGTTTTCTTTGGTATTAGTTTGGTTAACAATTAATTGGTATACAATAAACCAATTAAATCAGAGTTTGTGGGGAAATTGATTTCGAAGTTTGATTGCAGGGGAAAATAGGTTTCCAACTTCTATCTGATGGGGAAATAGAATTAGAACTTTGATAAAAGGGGGAATTAGAACGAGGGTCAAACTTCAGGAAGATCTATTATTATATAAAAGTTCTCAGGTGGAAATTAATCGTTTTCCCTAGGGTTTCATATCGAGAAGGATAAGTAAGCGGTTTTTTTCTAAAAGGAAATGAAAGGTTGGGGTGATGAAATGAGAAGGAGACTAGGGTATTTAAGGATAAGTGGGCGGTGGTTGGTGACGCCTGTACGCGTTACAATTATAATGTAAGACTGGTACAACTACCAAGCCTGGTAAACGGTATCATTTATTATCATTAATGTATTGAAAATAAAATAAAAAAGTCTCTTCCAAATAATAATTAATGTTGGAAAAGTGAATAACAGAGATATCATTACAAATACAAATTAAGTGAAAATATCAAAAAAAAAAGTACAAAATAAGAAAACAAAAACATATCTCAAGAAGATGCGGCCCGTGCCATTTTGAGAGAGTGCACTTGATGAACAGAAAGTTATTTAAAATTAGGGTTTCTGACAAGTCGAGAATAAATAGATGTTATAATGAATTAAATGAAATGAAAGAAATGAAATGAGTAGTGGAATATTAAAGGAAAATTGATGCGTTGGTTATTATCATTAATCTATTTAAAATGGGATTATAAAATTCATTGAAACACGACTACTCGAAAAAAAATTTATTCATTGAATCTAACTGCTTTCTTTACTCATCTTGTCCTTGACTATATATATATATTCCTGATCTTACCCTGGAGAAACGTCGTCCTTCAAAAACACATAAACCCTAAAATAATCATCAATATCTTACTCGCTGATCTCAGACTCTTCATCAGATGAAATACCCATCGTACACCTTAAAAGCAAGAAGGATGGGTATTTGATCTGATGAAGAGTCAGATCAGCGAGTCAGATCTTACCCTGGAGAAATGTCGTCTTTCAAAACACATAAAACTGAAAATAATCATCAATCTCTTATTCGCTGATCTCAGACTCTTCATCAGATGAAATACCCATCGTACTTACACCATAAAAGCAAGAAGGAAGGGTATTTCACTTGATGAAGAGTCAGATCAGCGAGTCAGAGTTTGGTCAGCGAGTTTGGTCACCTGATGTTGCAGACTGGGAAATACAAGGTTTAATCTTTGTTCAGGCAAGAAAAACATGATTATAAGTATAAAGCGTTGATTGGCGTTGATTGCTCATGCTTATATTTGTAATCTTGTTTTTTTTTTCTTGAACAAAATTAGGCTTTGTAGGATGCAAAGACGATGTAGGTTTTTGTATTCAGTTTTTCACATTTGGGTTTAGGTTTTCAGTTTTTGATTTTAGAATTGTGGATATCTTCGTTTGTAGTTTTTGGTTTAACCTCAGTTATTTTAAAAAATATATTTTTAAAGAATAATTACTTTAAATATTATAATAAATTCCCGTGATTTACGCTTATCCATTATGAATAAAAAAAGAGGCGTCTGCTTGATGACGTCTTCACGCGTAACCAGTATAAATGGGGCTATAAATGAGTGCGGATTACCGATGTAAAACTGGTCCAACTACCAAGTCTTATCAGAAGTTAGGGTTGCATGTAGGTTATTAAAAAGTTTGTGAAATATTTCCATTAATCACAAAAAATATAATAATATTAATAACCAAATAAAAACATAATATAACCATACAAAAAACAGAATAATAAGTTCAACGAAAACTAAAAAAAACATAAAAAAACACAATTATGTAGAGTCTTTTCCGCCATGGATGTTATGTTAACCATCCATGACGTGGATCTTGGTGAAGCTACGTGCGAGTTCCTCGTAGCTTGTCCAGTCTTCCCGATACATCACCGCCACCTCCTCCCTCACGACGTCGCCTTCCGCCACCAGCGGATGCAATAGCATTTGGGCCAGACTCATCAGCATCTGGGCCACAGATGTCGCGATGCACTATGTATCAGGCATGAGCATCGGATGGAAAATGTTGCCACGATGGCTCACATTGGGGTGGAAGATGGGGGTCCGGAAGTGCACCTTCGGTGGCTTCCAAGGGAAATCCGGGGGGAAGATGATGCGGGGAAAGAAGACACCCCCTTCGTAGGGAGTTCTCGGCGGACCGGTGATGGTCACCGCCCACACATACACGTCCTCCGCCTCCACCCCGGCAGAGTATATGGGCGATGGGTTTCGTTGGAGGTCAAGCAGGTATCGGTGCATCCAGTACTCGGGACGTGTTGATGATGCCGGACGAATGTTGTGAGTAAAGTGGGCCATTTGGGGAAATTAGGGTTTTGAGTTAGCAAAGGGAAATATAAGATTTACTTTTTTGACGTTTAGGGAATGTTTCTTTCTCTGCGATGGTGTTATGAGAAGGCGAGGGTGTGGTATTTATAGAAGAAGAAGTTAAGTGGTGGCATGCATTAATGGCGTCGTCTCACTATGAGACTTCTCTCACTATACAAATGCTGCCTTTCTCTATTCCCACACGCGTCGTTTTAGATAACATAATTTAATAACGACAAGACAGTTACCCGACAACCAAAGAGCAACAATATTTTAAACCGAGTAATACCAAACCAAAATCCTCTAACTAAATATAAACCAATTCTTATAACAATAACAAAACAATATCCTCAAAATAAATTTAAATTTTGCAAACAACACGATCCCACAATTTAGTTCCTAAAAAAACCATAAATTCAAATCGACAGCATGATAGAATGAACATCTGGGACTGTTAATTCCTACTCTTCTTCTTCTTCTTCTTCTTCTCATGCTGCACCTCCCCTTCCTCGACTGAAACACCAGATTGTTCCTACATGATAACAAAGATATGTGGTTTATACTATAGTTCTACCTATTAGTATCAACTAATACATATTACTACCAAATAATACCTATAAGTACCAAATAATACCTGAATTCCAGTCCGTTGTCTGGTCAAATACTTTCTGACAACCGCTGCCCTCGTCTTCGTCTTATTCTTTTCCTTCTTTGCCACATCACCTCCCACTTCTTCATTCTCTTCAACCCTTTCTTCATTCTCTTCTTCTCCTTTTTTTCCTTCTTCTCCCACTTCTCCTTCATCACCTTGTTCTTCTCCTTCATCACCTTGTTCTTCTCCTTCCTTCTCTTCTCCAAGACATTCACTTCGAATTGCCTCTTTCACATAAGATTCAACGGACTTCAATCTAATATCGATGCCATTGATGTGGTCTCTCATTAGTTGGAACTGCTCATCCATACTCTTCTTCAACCCTTGAATCTGGTCCACAATCCCAGTCGGCGCTGGAGATTTAGAGGAGGCATTCTTCGCTGGTTCAACTCGGTTTTTTTAATCGTCCAAGCTCATATCCTTCCAGAATATCGGCTTCCTATCATCAATTATACGACTCGTCCAAGTATCAGGAATTGTATCATTGTTATCTAGGTCTTCATACTTTTCCATGATACCAGCTAACATATCTTCCTCATCAGCAGATGGTTCCAAGATACTCTTGATATCTTTGGTATTACCTAGTGTTTCGTAGAGGTCCGACAGAGGAAATCCTTTGAGAGTGAATGGTCTGAACTTTGTCTTGCACATCCGAGGACACTCTATGTCTGCTCCTTTAGCTTCTTCTCTGTATGTGTCCTTCAGACAAGGTATTGCTTCAAAAGGTAGCAACTCCAAGGGAGTAACAAAGCCAGGAAATGTCCAAGAATCGGTTTCGACGACCCCATTGAAGTGCCTTAATGTATGTTCAATTTCCTTTAGATTCGCATCAAATGAATACCTCCCCCAAGGAAATGTTCTACACGCATCGAGATCTTCTACCATCCTCAATAATAAAGGGTCTACCGAGGGAGCTCCCTTCCCAGTCTTAGCCTTACCACCTAACACGCTTGCTAGAAAGTACAAAACACACATTCTTAAGCGATGAGGACCACCACGCATCTTTTCAAGCTTCTCTTTAACAACAGCAAGTGCAGGGACAGTTCCTTTCCTTAAAATCACTACTGCCCATCTTCTCATAATTCTTTGGATAATCATGGCAGTCTAATTCAGATATGAGTGCATGTTCCTTAAGCGAATACCGAATTGGAACTCTATTAACAACAAACCAACACTCTCTCCTCTTGTCTGTCTTTGCTGTGCGTAGAAGGAGCATCCACAACCCCTGAGTCTTATGAGTTGTATCCAAATACATGTCCTTGTGCATATGCCAGAAGTGCTTGAATTGAGGATGCTCGCTAAACCATCTTAGCTCCTCGGGTCTCAGTCCCAGTGACGGCGACTCGAGATTCTCCACTGCTTTGTGGATCCAACACCGAGTACCTAACTTTATTGCCTTGTTGTACTGATTTGGACTAAAATACATACTCAGCGGTTGCATTGGCGGCTGGTTTTCCTCATTATTACGCGTTTGCTCATTACGCGTTTGCTCCTCAACCTCACTACGAAAGCGTAATGGCTCCCACAACGTTAATTGAAGCGACTCACTATCTCCTCCGAATGATGTCATTACAGTATTTCTAAAAAGTTAAGACACATCTAATTATCACCGGGATCCACACATCAATCAAAGTGAACTGAACTCAAATTTTGCAGGTAATACTAATTTCAGTTCCTCGTTCCTAAACCCAGGTATCAGACACTACAGATTCATTCGTAAGCCTTCTGCCTAAAATAATCTACAGTAAAACGGCAAAAACGAAGAAGAAACGAAGAAAGAACATGATGCGAATTTGAAGATTGTGACCAGTTTAGAAAATCGAAGACTCTTCGTAGTATCCTCGTAGTTGTACCTAATGGAACGAGTTTCCCAGAAATGATTTACATTCGAATTTAGGATTATTCAAATTTAGACCCGAAATCGGATCCGGTATAGCTAATTGGGTGTGGATATTTGACCCATGACTGGTTGGGTCAGTAAATATTATGATGTTCTAAGGGTGACTGAGTATTTTCTCGCTTTTCCGATTTAAAAATAATTTAAAAATAAACTAATTTTTATAACGCTGGTATATGAGAATAAATTGCTTGGTCAACTGGTATATGAAATCGTGATGGTTAAGCAAATAGAGATAAGGTCAAACTTATCTTGGTGAAACTAAAGTTTAACTCTGGTTGAGGTAAATGAAAATAGAGTTAGACATGCTTTTGGGACCACAGACAGAGGAGGCAGCTACTTGGGAAACAAGTGCAAGTACTTCTTGTCCTCTGGTGATTTCAAATGTTAAAGGTGTGTTTGTCCAAGATTGCAAACGTGATTAAAGGAGCGGTTTTGGCGACTTAAAGAGAAGCCTTTGCGTTAGGTTTTGCACAGGTTTTTTTTTGTGTCATCACTATATAAGGAACATATATGGAATGAGAGAGGGTAACCCGTAGGAGTTCAATGTAGAACGTAAGTTCAAGTAGATAGTGTGAGAAGAGAGAAACTATAGAAAACATAATATGTTCTTAGTGTTCTCTAGCTTAGGAGATTGGTACAGAGTGAGTCTAAGTGCTGGTGAAGAGCATTATGCGGGTCACTTGTAGATCTCCTTTGTAATCACTATCTTGAATCTAGTGGATTCCGAGCACAGTATTGGCGAGATGTAGCGACCCTCATTAACGGGCATGAACTCGTTAAATGTTCTGTGTGCTCTGTTACTTTCTCTTCTTCATATCTTTCTTGCTCTGTTTCTCTTGTGGCTGGTGTTTCATGTCTGCGACAGATCTAAAGCTTGAACCTTAAAGAGGTTAAATCCTAACATTGATAATCCCGAAGAGTATTTAAATTTTTGTTGAGATCCACCATACCATTCGTCCACCTTTGTATAAATTGTGATAAAGTTTGATGATGAAGTGGTCAACCGCAAATACAACTGAAAAGAAAAATTAAGATGTTGTTATTCTTTAAAGCTCCCAGAGAAAATGAGAAAAATGGAGTTAAACTGAAATTCTGATACAGGTGAAACAGCAAGTTCAAACTCATGAGGCACTAAGCCAGTACTTATGGTAGTGAACTTTTTGTTATGAAACGCATGGTATCTCATGTAAACACGCATGCAGAACTATTATAGTTCCATAGATCCATAACTCAAGATAAGTGGAAAGTTAATAATTGGCAATTATATTCTCGAAATTTTCTTATCATCTTCCAGAAACCGTTAACACATTCATTCTTCACTGACATGGCATCATCCTGCAGTCCTCACTTCAACTGCATGAGAAAATAAAATAAATTAATATTATTAGATGTAAGTATAATGTAATAGTTAGATGTTTTACCTTTGGTTGTGTTGTGATCTACAATAAGCTGAGAAAAGGGTAAATCCAGGGTCAAAGTGGTTCATTCTCGTCGCTAAATTTGGAGTTCTTCATCCTCTTTTAGTTTCTTCGTTCCAAGACATGTCTTAAATCCCTGACATCAATTTTCTAAGACGGTGCAAAAAAGAAAAATGAGTACTAAAGGGGATGAATGTGTGGGGTGGTTTAAGGAGCCATAAATTTGCTCTGCAGTTTCGATTTGGAGATAGTGGGCATTGAGGAGAAGAAGGTGGAAGGTTAGTTATTATTTTGGAAACGGTTGCAAGAGGTCTGTCGATTAAACTTTCTGTTACCGTTTTCAGTCTTGCAAAGAATGAAAAAAATGAATATTGGGTTGAAAGTTTAATTTGGGCTCTAACAAATCTTTGGGTATTTTATATTGGGCTTTTGTGTATTCACCTTTTGAGTAATACGATGATTTTTAGAAGAAAATATGAAATATGTGGTGGGACATAAATATTGACGTTTGCATTTCGTTTTTTTTCTTAATGACATTGTTTGATATGATTGGTTGAATATAAACTTGATTATTTTTGCTGATGTGGACAGCCTTAGAAACCTCCAAAATAATCTTTTTTATATAAAAGAGATATAAAATAAGGATATTGTATTATTATTTGAAACAGCATATATATCAAATGAACTAATTGTTTATTTTTGCTATATATTATGATAACGATTTCGACTAATGTCTTAGCTCTTATGGCTTATTTCATTGGATTAGAAATCAACTTACATATCCATTATGACTTAATGTTCCAATGAATACCAGGCCCGAATGGTTTATTACTATTCCTTCTAGTGTAAATCCCATCAGTTCTGGCAGCCCATTCACGTAGCTGACGTTCTCGATTAGTACGTGCTGCTCTGTATACTTCTACGTCAAAAAAATACTCCATTTTAGGCCCATAGCTAAGCACACAATTCCATGTTGTCCTCTTATCTCCAGAATCCTTGAAATTAATGGTATAATTCCCATTGAATTCTAATTTTCTGATTCCTCTATCTTCGTTGTTGATGTTGCAACGACAATGATGCTGGAGAATAATACCAGAACCAAGTTGGTTTCGAATTACAATTACATTATCCTTACTCTTATCAAATACAAAAGATTCATGTAACCTAAAACACATAGAAGTAAATAACAAAAACACTATGAGATAACTCATTTTTTATGGATTAATGATATATATATTTTTTGATTAATAAGGGGGGCATCATTGTGCAGTATTTATAATCATTTTGTTTGGCACACTTTTTTTTGAAATATTTTAATTAGCCAAATTTGGAACAAAATATGAACCACTTAATTAAAATTTTGTCGGAGGAGAATTTAGTGGCTTAAAGTATGGTTGAACGAGAGTATCAAGCCAGATTAACTAACTTTAATATATTACTGGTGGATTATCCATGTCTTACGGTATATTTTATATTCTTTTTAGTGGTGTAGTTAGAAACAATAATAAATTATTATATATACTATTTAAAGGTTTCATATACATAGTATAATATATAGGGGTTTTTGCTAAAAATAACCTAAAACTTGATTCTGAATACAAAAATAGACTCCTAAAAAAACATTTGACAAAAATAACCTAAAAGAGTAGTGAAAGACCATTTAATCCTGTATGACTAAACAAAAAATGGATGTTCTAATTACCGTTTAAACCCTGACGAAGTCTACTAAAGAGTGAAAGAAGTCTAATAGTAGACTTCGTTTAAATGAAAAAAGTCTAATAGTAGACTTCGTTTAAATGAAATGAAGTCTACTATGTAATTAAATCATAAAATTTAATTTTAAAATTAATAAAAAATAATTTTAGTTTCAAATTTGTAATCATAATTTAGATATTGGTTACCCTAATGTATATAAATTATATTTTTGTATTCATAAGTTTAAATTTATGATTTCAAATTGAAAAGAGTAAAATATTTGATTTAAGGTTTACACTTAGTAGATTTCAATATAGAAGTCTACTAAACCGGATAAATGATTTTAACCGAAATTTAAACTAAAAAAAATTAATTAAACCAAAATTTTTTATTTCCGTATATAAAGAAGGTAACCCTAATTTTGTAAAAAAAAATGAACCCTTCTTCTTTCTAAAACGGCGCTGTGGCCATTATCTCTAGCCGCCCACTCTCTCCCCATCCATTCTACTTCCCCTATCTTCTTCTCTTACTCATTGATCTCCTCCCGATGATTTCATCAGGTGGTAGAGAAGCCCATTGCTTTCTCCATAGCTTCAGTTCTGTCCCATGGACAGGTTTCTCTCTCTTTCTTTCTAATCTATATTTCCTGAAATCTAACTTGAAGTAGTTGAAAGTAAGCTTTGTTTGGTTTTGCTGTTGATTTCTCAGAGAAGGCGCTGAGGGAGAGATTCAGGAGGCGTTGTGTTATTAAGACAAAGATCTGAAATTTTGTTCAGTTTCTCCTTTGTTTTTTTCGGTTTATTTATGTGAGATCTGTGAGGAGGAAGATGAAAGGAGAGCGCCATGGTACTCCAGCAGGTTGGTTCTCTTACTCTTCTCTTGTTTTTAACCTTATTGTTTCAGTTGAGTTAAGAAAAAATTGTCATGAATCTTCCTATCTTATTACTGGAACGACAACAAACATTAATTTTGTGAATGCAGAGAGGCTTTTCAATGCAGAGAGGCTTTAAACCCAAGAGATCAGATCCAAGCTTATGTATTTGACGGTAACTTTTGCTCTTTTTTTTTCATTCTTTCTTTTAATTAAGCTCCTTGATTCTTGATTTTCTTCAAATGTATGTTTGTTTCCAAATCAAAGAAGGTTGAGGGAAAAGAATAAGAAGCACAGCATGGGAAGAAGCGGAAGTTAATGGAGAATCTTGAAACACAGCGTGGGAAGAAGCAGTACAAGTGCTCATCTTAATTTTAAAATAGTTATGGTCATTGTTTTTCACTCTAATTGATGTTTTTGGTTTGGAAAATTTTGGGAGGCTTATGTAATGTGAATTTGGAGCGCGTGGCTGATATGCCCTAACTCGCAAAAAAAAAATCTCACCTGCCATAACATAATCTAATGCCATAAGTAAAAGTGTAATGACGTTTATAACTTTAATGAATTGAATATTAAATTTTAAAGAATGAAATTGAGTTTTTTGTTTTTTTTTTTAAAAAGCTGTGGCTTTCTTCTTCCCCTAGCTCGTTTCCGTACACCTCCGGCGAAGAGAGCTTGATTCGAACCACCGTCGTTTGCTGGCGCCGGCTCATTTTTGGTTGTTTAACTACTCTTTCTGATCCGGCCATTTGTGTGAGAAGACTTCGAATAGGTATGGTGGTGTGTATTTTGGGGATTTATAAATTAGGGGTTTTCTTTGTTTGTTTGGTGGTTGTTTAACTATGTACATTGCCTAAGTTTGTTGCTTATTAGTTAAGTTCTCTTCGAATCGATGTTAATTTGTCGATTTTTAGTGTTGAATCTGTTTGGTAGATGTGAAACGAGGATGTGGAACCAAAGGATTTAGGCAAGAAAGTTTGGGAATTTAGATAACTGGTACAAAAAGTATAAGTGAAAGATAGGGGACAAGTAGTACAAGTAGTACAAATGGTGGAACTGATAATTATGGGACAACTAGTACAAGTCTCCGGCTTATGGGACAACTAGTACAAGTCTCGGACTTATCATATTATGGGACAACTAGTACAAGTCTCTGTTCAAACTGATAATGTGGGACAACTGGTACAAATGTTATAGTGAGAAATTCGGGACAACTAGTATAAAAGGTATAATTGTGAGAAACATAATTGGTAATATGATTTTTTTTTGCTGCGTATACCATGATATAATGAGCATTGGCCACACCAACATACATTTTGAGTATGGAGGATATTATTCACGGAACGAGGAGGAGTTTAAATGGATTTCAGTAAAACCTATATATGCAATATCATTTAAAAGATTATCTTTGGATGGGATTACTTATTCAGCTCTTGTAGAGAAGATATGCCAGAAGATTGCACTAAGCTCCAATACGACGAATCTGAAATTGAGCTACATTCCTTTGGTAGCTAAGCCTCAAATGGAGTCATGTATTTTCGGTGATGATGATGTATATGCTTATCTGACGACATTTGATAAAGATGGTCTGAGATCTGTTTTGAATGTGGAGGTTATCGAAGAGGTGGATACAGACAAAAGAGATCAGCTATGTGAGGATGATGTAGCTAATGGGGATAATGTAGCGAATGGTGGTGTTATGGTTCTTTTCAGGGCTGAGGAAGGAGGAAATCAAGAGAACATGCCTACTAATGAGCGTACTAATGAGCCTGATAGTGAGAAGCAGATGGAGAATGAAGATGGCTTGGAAACCGGTTTTGATGAGAATGAGCATGTTGAACTTCCACCGGAAGAAGAACAAACTCAATTTGTTCTAGAATGGGATGATGGTGCAGGTTTTGAAAAAGGTCAACAGTTCTGTTCGAAGGAGGCATTGAGAGTAATGGTTGATAAAGCTGCACATAAAGGGTGTTTTGGGGTAAAAACTGAGAAGTCTGACCAGGGTCGAGTGATACTGAAATGCCAACAAGCTGATCGTGGGTGTCCATGGTATTTACATGCTGCCAGAATTAAGGAATCCACATATTTCAGTGTCAGAGTATATAGGAGTGTTCATACCTGCTCCAGGGTTGTCGCGAGTACAAGTCGGAAGAGAAGAAAAGGTACTCCACAAGTAGTTGCATCCGTCTTGCGTGATGCATATCCAGGTAAGATTGACACCCCCGCGCCCAAAAGTATTATCAATGTTGTTCAGGTAGAAGCTGGAATAAATGTGTCTTACTCTACTGCATTGAGAGGCAAAAAGCTAGCTGTTAGTGAAGTGAGAGGGAGTCCTGTAGAAAGTTTTAGGAAATTGCGTTCTTATCTATACGTGTTAGAGAGGGTAAATCCTGGTACAGTTATATGCGTGAAGGTGGATGCTGAAAATAAGTTCAAATATCTATTCATTGCTTTGGGTGCTTGTATAGAAGGTTTTAGAGCAATGAGAAAAGTCATAGTCATGGATGCAACATTTCTGAAAAATATATATGGTGGTATGCTTGTATTTGCTACAGCTCAAGACCCTAATCATCATCATTACCCCATTGCAATGGGTGTAATTGATAGGGAGAAAGATGGAAGTTGGAATTGGTTTTTAGAAACACTGAAAACTGTCATACCAGATGATGAAGAGCTGGTTTTTATGAGCGATAGGCATAGGAGCATTTTGAAGGCAGTTCATGAGGTGTATCCTAAGTCTCAGCACGGACATTGCGTGTGGCATTTGTCGCAGAACGTGAGAGGTAAAGCTGCTGTTGGTTTTAAAGATATTTGTGCTGCGAGATTTAGAGATTGTGCTCATATGTATACCGAGTATGACTTCATCAGCGCATACACCGATTTTGGGAGGAGGTTTCCTAAAGCCGCCGAGTATCTTGCTGCTGTTCCTGTGGAAAAATGGGCTAGGTGTTATTTTAAAGGAGACAAGTACAATTTGGACACCAGTAATGCTTGTGAGTCGATGAATAGTGTATTCAAGAGGGCAAGGAAGTACTCTCTACTGCCTTTGATTGATGCATATGTTGAAAAATTATCTGAGTGGTTCAATAAGCATAGAAAAGACACTGTTTCTGCAACAAGCTTAGGAAAACAGTTGGTGCCGTATGTGGAAAATGAATTACATACACGTTGTGCAGTTGCAACTCACCTACTAGTAACTGAGCTGAACGGCAGTGAACTTGAATACAGTGTCACTGGAGTTGATGGGAAGAGATATCAGGTTGATTTGTTAAGGAGAAATTGTAGTTGCAGATGTTTTGATATTGACAAGATTCCTTGCGTGCATGCTATAGCAGCGACGATGGCCCTAATGCGCCAAGAAGGAAGATCTGTGGATATAGAACTCTCTGATCTGTGCTCGGAATACTACTTGACAAAGGCTTGGTCATTGGCGTATAGCAGAACCATATATCTGGTTCCACACGAGTCTACTTGGGATGTTCCAGAGAACATAAGACAGTCAATTGTGCACCCACCAGACTACATCAAAAAGCGTGGAAGAAAGCAAGACAAGCGATTCCCCTCCACCGGAGAACCTCGCCGGAAGCGTGCAAACAACAGGTCTAACCCAGGAATTAACTTGGGACGGTGGTTATTCCCAGAGTCAAGTCCAGGAACAAACGACCAACAGGTGTAACCCAGGAAGAACTGGACAACTGTGTTTTTTTCATCTAATCATGTTTTGGGGTTTAGAGACAACTGGACAATTAGTACAACTATGTTGGAATTGTGATGTACAAGTAACGAAACATTTGGAAATATTTGGGACAACTGGACAACTAGTACAACTATGTTTATTGGGACAACTGGACAACTCGGACAACTATGTTGCATTTGTGTTGTACAATTAGAAGAAGCATATGTTTGAAATTGGGACAACTGGACAACTAGTACAACTATTTTATTGGGACAACTGGACAACTCGGACAACTATGTTGCATTTATGCTGTACAAGTGACGAATCATATGTTTGAAATTGGGACAACTGGACAATCAGTACAACTATGTTGTATTTGTGTTGTACAATTAGAAGAAGCATATGTTTTAAGCAACAGGTCAGAAAATAAGATAACAAATTTGTTTCACAGTGAACACTCCTTATAAAACAAGAGAGTCTTCACTAATACTCATCACCTGATGATGGATAAATGCAAATTTTTGTATTTTTCAAAACGGATCAATCAGAACCTTTTAATTGGTGGCATGAAACTGTAAACAATGATGGACAACTACAATCAGTGGTATATGGTCATGGGTCAACTGGAAATATTTGAAAACGCTTAAAGTACAACTCTTACAAATATTGGACAACAATACAACTACGTACAACTATGTGAAAACCTAAATCATATTGTTTTTGCACGTGAAGCACGTGTGTTTACTATGGCGGCAGAATAATTAAATAGTTTTTGAAATCTCTCTTCTTTAAATTGTTCTTCCTCTTATTCTAGTGAGCACTTCCTCGTTTTTTTAGGGTTTCAGCCGCAGAGCAATGTCGATGAAGGAATCTTCCTCAAAAATGTCGAAGAAGGAATCTTCCTAAAAAAAAAACTGCCTGGATTCCCAGAGGTAAGTTAAAATTCCCAGAGGTTGCTGTGGTCCCAAAAATTTCCCAGAGGTAAGTTAAAATTCGGAATTTAAACAATTTACAGATATACTATCTGGATTCCGCGAAAATTAGTTTTTCGTAAGTGGATTTTCAGGTTCCAAGCTGTGGCTTCAAAAAGTGGTGGGATGAAGCCATAGTTGAAGAGATTGAAATGGTAAAAGAAACTCAAGAGGAGATGAAGTCTTTGTTTGATGTCATTATCTTGAGGATTGAAGCTCTTGAGGCTGCTGGGGCAAGAAGAGGTGCTCGAATGAAGGTTGAAGCTCAAGATCCGTTATTGAACTACTTTGTTATCCTGTACTGAACTACTTTGTTGAACAACCGCAAACATCCGCAAGTTAAAAAAAGAACATAACATCCAGAAAACAAGAAAAACTACCACATCCGACACTTCTACTTCGATTTCTTCGTCTTCTTTGGCTTTCCATCTGAGACCCAAGGCGACTTCTTGTACGTCGATTTTGACCGTTTCCTCTTTTTTGGAGGTGATTCTGGTGCTGCTGCTGCTCGTGCTGACGACGCCGGTGCTGCTCGTGATGACGATGCTGCTGCTGGTCGTGAAGAGGATGTTGCTTCTGGTCGTGCTGACGACGCTGGTGGTGTCCTTGAGTGGACTGGCCTAATCTCTGAAGCTTCCACTATACGATTCTCCGCTGTCGCAACAAAGGTGATCAAGTAACGTCCACTCTCTAGAATTGCCTTAACCGTCGCTTGATGCCAAACAGAATCCTGTAACGCCTCTACACGTTCCAACAACTGATACGCTTCATGTGGTTGCCGTGAGGAGGTTTCAGGAAGTGGTGAACCGGTTGTTGCCATAGGAGAAAATGTTTGACCGAGTGGTGAAGATGTTGGTGCCATAAACCCACTCTTCCACATCTCAAGAACTCCAATTCTTCCATCAAAGCTTTCAAGCTTCTCCGACATATCCTTAAAGCCTTTCTCCATCAAAGCTTGGAGCTCCAAGAGTGACGTAATGGAAGGAGGAGGATTCGCTGGATTCGCTGCATTCGCATAATCAGGTGCCACATCCTCTCTGATCACACCGCGGGAGCTAATCTCCATCTCGTATAGATCTTTCCAACAAATCTGCTTATTCTGAATGGTTAGGTAATCAATCCAATTCTCAACAACTGGATCAATAAACCCTATCCCATC